TTTCTTAAGTTTGGATTTCTTTGAATCACTTTGCTTACCCCAACAAAATGGGCAGAGTTTTCAGCATTTGAATTTAGAGGCAGTTGTAATACACTTCTGGCATGTAGTACTAGCCTTTATTAGAGGTTTTGATTATTGATAGTTTGGAAAGCTAAGCTTTTTTTTTTTTTTTACTTTGGAAAATAAATAAGCATGAGAAGGACTAGGCCTGAGTGCTTACAAGGCAGAATCATGTCTAAACTGGGGGTAGATGAGGATTCTCAAGCATCAGACAGGGATCAGCCACTTTGGTCATACCTCCACTATTCAGCTTGTGGGACAGCACATCCACTTTCTCCTGCAGCTTGTCGTACATCGTCACAATCTGGGCAACAGCACGGCGGGATGACTCTACACGCTCCTGCAGCTGAGATTCTATCTCTTCACTAGTGCTGCTGGCTAGAGTGGCTAGGAAGGAGAATGCTGGCTCCAGTCCTTCACCTGGGAACACAAAGATGTCCAAAAAAACATGTGCTCTGGCAGGCAACATATCATTAGTCTTCACAATCAGAAAGCCCCTGTCACCCTTTAGAAAGGGACATCAACATTATCCCCAGCTGAAATACATCCAGCCAGGTGCCTCACCTCGTTCCCTCTCATCTTTGCGCTCCTGATTACTGTCCGAGTCTGGTTCAGGTTCTGGTACCACCAGTGCTTTTCTTTCAGACAAAAGGTCACCAAGACCTTGGTCCAGGTCAAAGCGTTTAAGGATGATGCGGATATTTTCATCAAACTGAATGATGTGACATGCAAGACAAGGCAAAGAATAGATGTGAATAAAAGGAGTGCTGGGAAACAAAAGTAGAAACAAGAGAACAGTGTTTATAAAATCACAAAGCATGTTACTAACCTGATTCCAGTATCGATTGATAATCAGCAGAGAGGCATCATCAGTGGCCTGCCGACGCTCCAGCTTCTCAATGTGCTCCCGCAGTTCATCTTCAATTGCTTGCCGCTGGTCCAGCATCTCTGCTAGTTTCCGGTTCTTGGTCTGTAGGGTTCGGATGTCCATCTCCTCCTGTGCAGAAGCACAAGTCAAGGCACATTCCACACAAGCCAGATCACTGGGCTCATACAGAAGGTAAAGAGACATTTATGTTTACAGATACAAAAAAGCAAGAGGTTGAGTGGGGGTGTGGAAGGAAGACATACCGTTGAAGAAACGCCACCAAGCTTAATGGTTTCCACTGTGGTCCCCGAGTCTTCAACCCCCGCCTTCTTCTCTGGAGGTGCAGAAGGGCCAGGCTCTCCAGCTGCGCGTTTATTGCCAACTCCAGACATGGTGGCCAAACCATATAGACTCCTGCCTTCTCTAAGTTCTTCCTGAACGTTGAAGAACACTACTAAAAAAAAACACCAGCAAGCACACACATTCAACTCAATTTAGGGTTTTTAGCATACTGATGCATCATGGTAACAAGATGCACAACACAGTGCAGACCATATAACTCAAAAGGTTTTGGAAAATACTGGTCAAACATTAAGTCTTAAAAGACACCACTAGGATTAGCAGTTCAAACAGCAAATTGATGGGGAAAAAAATTCCACTGCTCTATATTATTAGAATGGAAGTACTGTACCTTACCACTCTCTTTGGAAAAAAAGTCTTCCTGCAGGTTCAGTCTCTGCTTTTTTGATCTCTCCCTCTGTATCGACAAAAACGATCTGGGTTAGATTTTAACAACCAACTGAAACTCTGTATATGTGGCACTGGTTCACTTCATACTAACCAAACTGTTCTTATTACATTCAAAGTCAGTTAAAGCTGAGGACAGCAACACCTTGAAGATGAGCCCTATAAGAGCTTACACAGAGCTCTTACAAATCCTATGTAACTGAACAGCAATTCCGAGCCAAGTAAACGCCCATTTGAAATTTTTTCCTGTGTATCAGGAGAGACACAGACACATTTGAATAGTATTTATCCCCAAGTTGATATAATCTGAAAAGCTCTGGACTACTAGGTACAGAATCAAAGGATAGTTGAGGCTGTTAGGGATCTCTGGAGATCACCTGCTCAGTGCTCCTGAACAAAGCAGGGCTGGCCAGCCAGCACAGGTTGTCAAGGTTCTTGTCCAGTCAGCTTTTGAGTATCTCCAGAGATAAAACTCTGCAATGTCTCTGGGCAACCAATCCCAGTACTTGATGACCCTCAGCATTAAAAGAGGTTTTTCTTATATTTGAACAGTATTACTTGCAGTTCCCTAAATTATTATTTAGTAAAATAACAAGTATCTCCTTAAAGGGTTTTCAAAACAAATATAGCAGCTGGTGCTGGAAAACAAAACCAATTAGATATTCACTAGACATCAGCAGCATTCTTCTCCCATATTCACTGATGCTGTGCCAACTCAATCCACAGCTCTATCTCTATCTCTAAACTAAATGAAACCCAGAAGTAAATGAAATGCAAACCATACAAGTAAGATTTGTGTTGTTCCATTTAAATCTATAATAGCATTTACAATTAAACTGAAGGTTACAAACTGAGCCTGTCAGTTCTTATGTATTTGCTTTACTTGAGCAGTTCTAGCGAAAGTAATAAGGCTACTGTATTTTTAAGATTAAGCTGGTACACTACTTTGCCAAATCTTACCATTTAACAAGCATTTTAGCTCGGCATTGCTCTTTACCATAGGCAAAATAATATAAAGATTATTTCTAAATGAGTTACTGAAACAGCACATATAGTGTTCCTATAACCTGTATTTTAACATAAGTATTAAACACATCTCAAAATTAAAAAATAAGCAAAGACAACATCCACTTAGCCATTTTTCTCCTTTAGCAAGGCAATTCACTGGGCATTGATTTCAACTCGAATGACTAGGCCATTGGGGGGTGGGGGGAGCAGCTGTCACTAAAAACATCTGCTACCTATCAGTCCAGTGAGCCACCAATGACTACTGCCTTTCAGATTTTTTGTCCACAGACAAAATATTTCTTCCCTTGCCTCCTGACACCAACCCTCACAGCTCTATCTCCTCCTCTCCCCACTACTCATTTCTTCATATACTGTATGCCAGCACCTGCCCCACTAGACTCTCTTTCCTTTAGGAACTCAACCTTACCCTCAGTCCCAGGCTATTCACATTCTTCTCTCCCCAAACAGATCACACGGATTCAAAAATTGACTGCACTGCTCTACCAGGGACTCAGCTTCATCTTAATCGTGCTCTTATGGTTAAAACTCTCTTACACGGAGACCAAAATACAGCTGGCACTCCGCACATCTACCACTGGCCAAAAGTCATCTACCTTGACCACCATCAATCAACTGCAGAAAGCAAACTTCCCCAGGCCCAATACTTAGCCACTCGTCAACAATCCAAGCCCACCAACCGATTGAGCCTTTTCACACGCTCATGGCACCCCTTGTCAAGAAACCTTTCAAAGTTCACCATTCAGCTTCCTACACACACCAGCCGCTCCCCACACTTTAATGTTTTGTTCATAAAAACCACACCGTTCAGGGTGCCCCAAAAACCTGTCCCATTCAAATCCCAGACAAACCACATTAAGCTCCACAGCACCCACCACAAACCCCTCTCCACACAGAGCAAGGAACCCACTCCAAACCACCACTGACTCCCCAGGCACATGTACGCATCCACTTCACTGATGCCCACAAACACCCAGG